GGGGGTAGGGCTTAGAGGAAGAGGACTAGAGGAGATGGGTGTTTGTACTGATTAATTATTGTCCCATCGACGTCGTCCATCAATGATCTAAATTAGGTAAATACGTAAATGTCTAACCAATATCATAAATGCTTAACTGACAACATACTTGTTAGCAAAGTTGTAAAATTCAAATATTTTATCAATTATATGGTGGAGACTCATTTGCGCACATATTAATAAATTTTTTAAATTTACGACAACTCATTTGCGCACAAAATAGTAAACAATGAAAACCAGCTTTTAGGTACAGTTTTGGGTGTACAGGGTGTCTTAAGCTGTCCAACACGTTACACGTTCAATACTATTGATATCAATCATCAATGATCACCCGTTATTGGAGTATCTTCAATATAGCCTTATATAGTCTTAAAGCATAACGTGATTTCACATCAGTTCTTATCTATCAAAAATGGCATTAATACTCGCCAAGAACACTATAGTCGTGTGGGACAAGCTTTAATCTTTATTATGATTAATTTATTATTAATGATTGTACCTAATTTATTGTAATTTGACAAAATTTTGAATAATGTGTAATAACTAAAACAAAATTTTTAAACCCGCCAGTCTATAACATCAGAATATGATGAGACAGAAAGTCCTAAACCTTTTAAAGGGTGAAGGAAAATGTTGTTTGAGTATAATAATTGTCCACTTTCAGTAATGACCAAATCGAAAATATGGTGGTACGGAGATTATGTACACCCTATACGTGGATAAAATTCTTGGAAAAAAGGTTTCTATTGTTCGTAAATTGTGCGCAAATGAGTTATGTTTTTGTGCGCAAATGAGTTGTAAAAAAGGTAAATGTGCGCAAATGAGTTGTAGCCCAATTATATTTACAACTATGACTATAAGCAATTATTATTACCTTAGTGTCTAATACTAATAGACAATTTTGATTATTTTGTTTAGCGAAATATTTCAATTAGGTCAAAAATGTAATAATAGGTAGGTACATGACCTGTGACATTCTGAAAGCATAGGTACCTAATATAGGTATAGATACTATAGGTAGGTACATGTTATTCAATGTGCTAATAGACATTCGGGTGTACAAATATTATAATGTAATTAGTAATTAATATAAATATAATTATTAATTTATTATTCTAATTAATAATTTAATTACTATAACAAATAATTTATGGCGATTTATATTTATCCTACTGGCTACTATAATATAGATGACAGATGTATTTGATAGACGGCGATCTTTTACGGACCCAGATTTTAATGTACAATCTACAATTTTATTGATAGGTGTTTTTACAATAAAACCACTCAGTTACCGATATTGTTTAAACATGTTTCTATAGACAATTCGATGTCTTATACTCGTTAAATTATCATTAGTGAGCGTAGATAAGTTCGGAGTCCTTCGTGTGCCACTCTCACTCGCTCACGCACATGTCAATAAATCGAGAAAAACGAAATATATTCTTCTATGCATCACCTATAAAATCTACCAAAAACGGTAGTAAATTAAACATACTTCCTGAAGTTTGATTGTAATTTCGCAAAAAGGGTTGAATTGGTAAGCTCCTAGACTATGCGTTGTAGGAACCTCTTTTTTGAAATAAAACCCAAAATAAATACAAATGTAATGCAACTATTTCATGAGATTTTTTAAAAAAATATCCAAATTGTTTGGCCTTTAAAATTGAAAATTGAAAATTGACTTCCTAGAAAGCCTAGTTTTTTTTCCAAAGAATTCATTCATATATTAAAATATATATATATTCTGAAGAATGTGTAATTTACCACCGCTTATTGGTCTAAAAAGTACAAAAAATACGTGTGATACGATCCCCTTAAGGCTTAAAGGAAATTTTTTGAGTACCGACTTATTTTTATGAGACGTCTTCTTAATATGTACCAGGTACCTAATTTACGACCATCGACATATTATTAGAGCCGGAAAGTATAGATAAATTGATTTTCCAACGCAAGTCCGTTTCTAATTCAATAAAGATATATATTTTTTTTTTTAATTTAAAATTATTTTATACATAAAAAAGAAATAAAATTGTAAAAATGACATAACATTAATTTATCCCTATATTAAAATTAAAATTTACAAATACAATTGTTTAAACTTTTGTATAGGTACATAAGTTTTTACAACTTTATTATAATAATAGTACCTAAAATTAGAGTTCACCCAACAAACAGTTTGCACTTTACAATAAACTTTTGAATCTTGATTTGGATTTATTTTACACTTTTTTGAAATTATGTCTGAACAAGCCCAGGGAATTATCATTTATCGTCATTACCTAAAGGAGATATTCCTAAATGCCTGACTGCATTTAAATGAAAATAATGGACATTAACATTATTTTCTAGTCAAAATCGTCAATATCTATTAATTATAACGTTAATTCCTTAATTATTTACGTCTTTTTAAAATATTAATAAATTGAATTATAGTGTATAATAAATAATAACAAAATAAAATATCCAGACTGACAAACCGTCTTCGTTCAGAATCATTTTTCTAATGGCATTATATCATTGAATTAAAGTTTAATACAACCATTATACATTGACCCACTTTTAACCTACTGTACAGAGTGACATCCACTTACCCGCTTTTTTTTATTCGTTTCTATGGTGATAAACAAAGCGATAGAGATTAAAATCTCGTTTTTAGCGGTTTTTCGTAATTTGTCGGTTGTTTTTCCCGTGGCATTAAATAACCATTGAGTAAATCGAAAAATGACCTCCCTAAAGTACCATCTTGATCCAATTTTCTAAAAAATGAGATACTATATTATGTTGAAATCGAAGCACTCCTTCTGGTAGAAATGTTGTAGGTACACAGGAGGATAAAAAAAAAAAATAAAAAATAAACATCATTGTAAAACCACTAGCTTCCTCGCTCCGCTCAGAATTTAATATCGTCAGTATGTTTTCTGAGATATTGGCTGGCCGCTGCTTGGTTGGCGATAAACGAATAACTCTGTCTTATTATTTACACTACCCAGTATTATCCCACACATGACGAAATGTGCGTTTTCCGGTCACGTCGACCGTTTAAAAACAATGCATCCGTTTAAAACGGAGCGGTGCGGTGAAAAAGCAAGAAAAATGTAATATCTCTCGCACCCGTGTGTGTGGCGATGGAGAAGATGAACTCCGTTTACGCGCCCGAGTCCATTAACTGCGGTGCAGCACATCGACCATGCACATTTATATTATACAACACTAGCTATATAATAAATATATATATATAAAATCTACGAGCCAAGTGACACATATATATTGTTATTTTATTCAGCGGCGGTCATTAAATGTTTTATACGCGTTTGGTTTTTTATCCACCGACTTCGTTTTAACTCGTTTTTAATTAACCTGAAACGGATACGCTCATACGTATGATGGTCGTAGTCGTGGGGCGCACTCGCAGTGTGCATATACATATTATATTATTTATATAATATATAACACACTCACACACACATATACCTATGCGCACGCGTATAATATATAGGAAGCACCGCCACCACCACCACGAAGAATATTGTTCCGGTTGTCAGGTTTACTCCGCAAGTGTAAGATATAATGTGTAATAACTATTTTTTTTTCACGCCCGGCTACCATTTCATCATCATGAAATTCACAATAGTGTTATTAAATTTTTTTACGCCCTCTACTCCCGACGGCTATCTTTTGCGATTTACGTACCCACATACAAAAGCAATCGTACCTACGCATTATTTTTTACGATACCTAGGTAGGTATACCTGTATTATATTTTATGTTTGCAATGCCTACCTACATACCAATCTTATTATATAACGTTATTATAGTACCTACATGTTTAACTTAAATGGCGGGAAACGTAAACGGGGTAGAAGAGGACGGGCAGAACAAAAAAAAATGCAAACGGATCTCACGCGTAGTGCGGTGTAATCTTCTATTATTATATAACAGTGCAGGCGCCCACCCCGCCGAGCCGATTTCCAGGTAAAATGGGTACTTACGCAGAAGTATAAAAAGTAATTTTCCCCTTTATTTTATGTGCGTATATATCACGGTCTTGTATCAGATGTCGTCGCCGCTCGTATACACGCACCCACAATCACACACAGACAGATTTGTATGTATTATAATAATAATAATATATTATTGTACTCGTGTATGGTAGTTATCGTGTGTGTCAAAGGGACCCGATATTAATATGTCCATTGCCTCCACCGACGTCGCCGCCTGCACGGTCGCGCGCCGTGCAGATCCCGAAATTCGATAACAATACGGTAAATAATTTAATATAACAGTGTCGCGGTAGTGGTATATACCTGCAGTATTATACCTATATATAATAGTACCCGCGATTAAAGTCGTATCGCAGGGTATGAGCTGGTGAGGCGGCCGTTAAGACAAAACGAATAAATAAACATATAAGAAAAAAAAAGGGCCGACGTTTTGTCGTATTGCTGACCCCTCCGCGATAAATTAATAACTTACCAGACGCCACCACAGCCGTTGCCGCCACCGCACCGTCCTCCAAGCGAGGATGACGACTATTAGAATACTAAATATACTTATGATGATAGTAATAATATTATATTGTGTAAAGGTATTGTAGTAGCCGCGGTTTCGTAAATTGTTTCCTGCACATATTCTATACGCACACGTCGCAGCATATTATATTATTCCCATCGTATCTTTTTAACTTTTTTTTTTCCCCCCGTTATTTTCGTCCATCCGCTTGAGACTACAATAATATATAATATTTGTATTGTATCTCGAGCAGGGTATAATAATAATATAATAATACAGTGGTCGCCACATATTATATGGACTCACGGTTAATTGACTCATTCGCTTATTAGACTAAAAACGGCTGTTCCCAATTTGCAAGTATATACTAAAACACAACAAAAAATTCGTCTATTCGACTCGCACACCGATTAATGGGGTCATTTGAAAATTAGATAAAAATAAAGAAAATGTGCGATGAAAGAAACAAAAAAACCTTTCGTTCGTTAAGCCACGTGGAGAACAGGGAGAAGCAGACCACGCATCTGCACGATCGTAGATTCATTCAGAACGGCTTTATCGCCTTATTAACTATTCTTATCGCCAAGCATCCTCCGCCTTGTATGTTTAATGTTAATGAAACTGAGAGGGATGATTCGGCCAAGAGGCCAGATTTTGATGTATTAGAGTAACATAAAGCCTACCGAGAAATGATTATGAAGTTGATCGAAAAAGGGAAAATCCAATCAACCATGGATGGATTTTTTATCCATTAAAAAAATGAATTAGGTACCATGTGTTATTACAATATTTTATAAGACCATGTCCACTTTTTTTATAGAGGTAAAAACTTTTAAAAATGTTTTTCCCTGTAAAATTACTATTATTAACAAACTTTTCAAATTTTTTTTAATACGTTATAAACTTAAGTACTTATGGTGACTATAAATACGTTTTAAGGGGCAAAGCCGCAAAGGCATTCCTATAGGTTGTCTGTGCAGCACTGTATTATGTAATTTAAATATTACTTATATATTATATCAATACAGTAAAAAGTACCGCGATCAAAAACGGAAATCATCTCAGTAGAACACTATAATACCTATAGGTATATACACTCTACAGCTATTAGTTTCTATAAATTTACTTATTAACATAATAAATTATTAATACATATATATCAAAATTTTAATAAGAGTTTATTATATATATAATAAATATATATATAAAATACAACTTAGATAGGTACTATAATATAATAACATCGTAAGGTTATATAATGTACAATACACAGTAGCTAGGTTTAATATTATAAAATGTATTCAGCTTATATTTGCTTTTTAAATAATTCCTTTCTTTTATGCTGGGTTGCAATCACTAAACAATTAGCAAACTAATAAAGTAAGTTTATATTTTAGTGGTACATGATTGGATCATTAAATCAATCAACTTTTTTTATTCAAATTGGTATTATTCTTGCAGGGACAAAAATATCTTAATTAATTGTAATAATAACAATGTTATATAGAAGTGTTTACTGATAGTTGGCAAAAAAATAAAATATTGTTCAAGTCGATTGGGAATGTATTGCTAGCGGGGAGAGGACTAAGGCTGTGATTGTGAAATAAATTAAATATAAAAAATTAAAATTATTCGTTAAACGAAAAACTAAACTATACAAAATTCAATTCGTATAACCGTAGAGTATGATCTTAGTGATCGTACGGTATACCTTGTACTTACATACACAATAAAATATACTATAAATACTAGCAGGTTATTATTGCCATCCATCATAATATTATAATATATTATTTAGAGTAACGAGTTTAACTATAACGATGCATTACAATTTCACTTGAAAGATAAAATATTAGTTGAACACGATATATTACTATTTTCGACTCGGTATTATAAATGATAATAGTCAAAAGGTGTACTATATTCGTATAACTAAAATGTCTTTATGTATATAATATAATATATGTAATAGCCGATATGTATAGGTTTTGTATAGATCATGTGATACTTATTAATTATTAATTATTATTACAGTTTACACCTTACCTAACCTATATACGTAGTATATACCTGTTTTATTTTTATTATCATTGTACCTATGTTTGCCCCGAGGCGTGGGGAATGTCGTCCAGGTCTGTTCTAGGTTTGAACCATTTACCATTAACGTAGATATACGTTTATTATAAATTATTTATTATATTATATACAAAAAATGTATACCATGTGCACTGTGCAAGTATAGTATTAATGTATTATGGTACATTTATATACATAAAACATTAGAGGTTTGGTGTGTCGGTGTGTGTATGTGTATGAAGTATACAGCGCGTATAAGGCGTTTAAGAATAGTATTTAATCAGTAATCACTATGCGTGTAAACTATTTAGCTACTGTTTTCGAAAAGAAATAATTATGTTAAACAATTTATATAAAATATAATTTTATAATTGAAATTGGAATTTCAAAACCGGTTCGCATATTATATTGCTTAATACAATGTTATATTATATTATTTTACACCTGCAATTAATTTCTTAGCGTGTTTCCGAATATAATATAACTATTAACTATCTACATAGCAGTTTAAACGTATGATGTGTAAATCGCGGTGCACCACGATTGAAAATGTTTACTTGCAGTTTAGTTCAGTGGTGTATATAGAAATAATTTTTGGGGTGGGCTATAGAGACAGAAACTAGCAAGTGATCTATTAATTAGAGGCTACCGTCTACTATATATTTAACAGTTTCTATAAATATATTCGGATTTGTTATTTTTCTGCAACAGCCTGTATATTATAACTTATAATAGTACCTAATAAAATATAATGTTGTTCTATTTAAAAAGACTATGATTTCGGGGGGGGGGGCTGCAGCTCACTGTGCCCACCCCCTATATACGCCACTGTTTGGTTTATTAAAATCCAGTAACCACACAAAGTACTCACAGTTAACACCATACAGTTCAACCTATACCTATAAACTAGTTGGTCCACACACTCGATATCCCTAAATAGATGTCATGACATATATTATGCATATATTCTGCCGTGCTAAGTAAAAAAAGAATAACTCAATATTTCGTAAAAATTGATTTATTTGTTTCTATAGATAATATAAATTGTTTTACACCGATTTCTTATGTAAAAATAGCGCATTTCCTATTAAAATACATCTTAAAATGCAATTTAAAATACCTAAGAAAATATGCGGTAAGTCCAATATATTAGATGTTTTATAAGCAAAAACACGGTAAATCCAAATACTAAGCAAAAACTCGGTATATCACATGAAAAATAATGGATTTATCGAGTTTTGGATTACATAATAGTTCATACCTGGTGTGTTGGAGAAAAAGGATATTAACGTAACATATAGTAACAATTTAGGCTAAAACAAGGTATGTCCAGAAAGGACTAACCGATAATCCGTAAAGCCCATGATGTTTATTATTATGGAGTTATCAATTTTTCATTTAGTACTACGATATTTATTTTAGGATAAGTCCATTTTCTCCTTAAAAAACTCAAAAAAGTCGAAATTAAAAGTGTTCAACCAATTCTAGGTGTAAAATTAGAAATGTCTGCATAGGTTTTGATAATTTTTTTGTAAAAGAGCTTTTTAAGGCTTAATTTATTATTAAAAACATTATTTGCTGTTTCTCAACAATCGTATTGACTATGGAATTATTCACGGCAGTGTTATAACTTATTATAGGTGATAATAATATTTATGATAACTCAAATACTTAAAAAAAATGTGTCAGGTGAAATGTTCGTGTAATAAGTAATATTGGTAACTAATAACCAATTAAATAACAAAAAAGATAATTAACAATTATATAGTAATAATCAAAATTCATAAGAAACGCATTACAACAAATTTTTATAGTAATCAAGTTCATATATTTTGTTGTTTTTGAAAAATAGCGATTTTTATTTTATAGTATAATATTATATACTATATAGATTAAAATTTTTTGATTACAGATGGATTTTCAATATTGTCTGTGATTACGCGCACTTAATCGCAGTACACCTATACACGATAATAAATTATCATCTTAGTAAGGCCCGTTTCAGTATGCAGTAGGCCGAGGCGTTTTTCGAATTACATATTGTTAAAATTTAGTTTTAATTAATGTTCAATAATATAATATGATTCCTAACTTGAAAACGTGTATAAAAAAGTACATTATTTTATTATTTAAATTTATTTATTTTTATAGCATTATTATTTTATGCCCGGACGTATCGAGTTTTGGAATAAATGCCCAAACGTATATTATATTGTAAATCGTAAATGTTTGATAACCAACGCGGTATATCAATCGAATTAATGTTTATAGGTATATTGTCCGGTATAACATTATACCCATAGGTATTACCTACCTGTTAATTTATTATTTAAGGTTTTGATTGTATAGTTCGGTAACCACATACCGTATTTAGTTACACGTATACGAGACCCGGTAATGATAAAAAATTGAATTAAAAAAATAAACTATACAGTGCTCAACCTCAACTAATATATACTTACGGAGATAGGCACTGTCCTGCAAGAAGTTATTTCACGCAGTGTTCGTTTTTCGTTTTTGATATACTTTGTAATACCTACCTATAGGTACTGTATGAAAGAAAAGAGTGGTTCAAAACGGGACCCAATCCGGAAACAAATAATTAAAACGTTTCGAGCAGCGCACTTTTTGTTTTTTTACATAATTTATGTCTTAATAATCATAATAATTTTATATTTTGCTATTGTAACCTACACGGTTGAGGAGTTCATTGGATAGCACACACGAGATGGGTTGCATTTAAAAATGCATTAATTTTTTCACACAATAATTACATATTTAGTTAGGTTTTTGTTTTTTGGTTTCATTTTAAACGCGTACAACTGCATGGCACATGTATCCTCTGGTCAAGCCATTCTGTTATTACATAATATCAAGGCTGGGCAAGTTAACTATTTTTTTAACTCGTTAAGTTAAGTTAATATAGAAAAATGTAAGTTAAGCTTAAAGTTAAAAGTTAACTTCATTTTTTTTTAACTTGTAAAAGTTACAAGTTAATTAGAAAATAAAAGTAACTTAACTTAGTTAAAAATAAGTTACTTTTTTTTTTTAAATAAAATTAACAATTATACCTACCTACCTACCTTTTTTAAAGCTAACAAATAACATAATAATTCAGTAAATCAAAAAATGTCTTACAATATTTGAATAAATGTTTGTAATAAAATTAGTTACTGTAGGTACTTATATTAATTTTGTGTATTATACTTTAATTAGGTAAATAGTAAATACCACACTACTACGGGTATTATTTACATCGACGGGCCAAGTTATCATCGTAATTCTATGAATGAATAAAAATATAATAATAAGTAATGATATTAATAATGATTAGGTATAGGTTAGGTACTGAGTAAATTGTTATATTTTTCTTTGACGCGGTTACCCCTATGATATTTCCCTCTATAATATAGTTATAAAATATTTTCTGTGAATATGCAATATAAAAACTTACTATTATTATAAATTATTATTTAATAAAATATATTTAATATTTCGGGTTTTTTTTTATGTAATTAATTTTACAAAATTGAATTAATTTTAAATAATATGTGGTTTGGGAAAAAATTAACTTAACGTGCCAATACAATTAATTAACTCGTTAAGTTACTGAATAACATGGGGAAAAATGTAAATCGTTAAGTTAGAAGTTACTTTTTAAAAAAAAGTAACTCGTTATTTAACTTAGTTAAAAGTAACTTAACTTTTTAACTTAACTTTAACTTATTAACTCGTTAATGCCCAGCCTTGCATAATATTACTATATTAGTTATTATTATGCCTAGAGACTTCCTGTTTTAAAAAAAAACCTCATATGATGTATGTACCTATGTATATACAATTTACAATTGATTTATAATGATTATCTTTATGTTTATAGTAAACTAGTCGGACACGGCAATGCGTTGCTATTGCTAGGTTTTTATGATTATGCGAGCAGTAAATTATCAGGTAGACAATCTACCTGTGGTAGATCTCGAACCCTGAGCAGTGAGTACATAAGTGTATAATGTATATAGTTTAACTCTAAAGTAACAAAAAATGCGAAAAAAATTGGTCCACCTGACCTTTGTTTGAACTCAATACATTCTGTAGATACTTAGTTATACACTAGACTTATCACATTAATAATAATTATTATTATTATTATAATTATTTAAAAACAATAGCAACCATTATTTATAAACAATAATAATAATAATATCAAAATCCCCGTTTGAGAACATCCCCAGGTCAGGGGCGTCATTTGGGGGGGTGCAGGGTGTACATTTGCACCAACATTTTTTATAAACGCCTTCTTTGGCCTGCCAACAATAAATATAAGCGCCGATATACCTAAGTGTTATATATTAATATATTATGTCACGTATCGGTTGAAATGTTATCGACTATCGAATATCTATAATAATCGGAATGATAATATTGTTATCGGCTAGTGAGGCCGACGGGTTTGCCCTCGATCAATTTTGTATGGTATTAATTTAGCAGTCGTCGAAAAAGAGCGAACGGGACATGTCGGCTCCGTATTATAGTGAAAATAAAATAATTTAATATTCTATTTGCTCAATTGCGTATAAGTTATTAATTTAAAATAATAGCCTAATCAACCAGCTGAGTATCCGAAGTAACCAGTATCGGAAAGTTACAGTCCACTCCGCAACATTTGGTCCATCGACCCGGATATTCAGTGTTGATTAGGAAAGCGTAATTCGTATTGAGGCGTTAATCGAGTATAGTGCGAGAGTTAAAGTTACAAAGTAACTGCGGATTAAATAAAATTGTGCGTCGCATATGCGTGGTAAAATTGTTACGTGGCTTTTGCGATCAAAATAAATCGGATATTCGTATATTTCGAAAATCAAGAAAACAATATACAATACATCCATAGGGGCGTGCAGGCAGCTGGCAAGTACAGTACTACAGCTTATATGGTGTATGGCGAAAAAGGGGCAAATCAATAACCTCAGCGACGATCGAATTTCCCGAGCAATAGCTGGGCCTCTCGAGAAAAATTGTCTTACAACGTCTAGCATAAAGGTAAGAGTCTCTGATTAAAAATAATTCCTGTGTAAAATTTCCTTGGGTTTCCCCTAGTGAGTAAAAAAAAAAAAAAAAAAAAGCTTGTACGTAGTATTTGAAGCAGGTCGAATAAACGCAGATAACGCCAACAGGTTTAACGTAATAAGTGAGATATAATATATATTATATTCAGCCGAAATAGTAACGCGAGAATAATTGATATGGCGGCTGACGAGAGAAATCTCACGATAAGACGCGGCCAATTAAAAGGCACGGTTACGAGATTCTTGACTTACCTACAAAGTGAAGAATTGGATCCAAATCAAGTATCATTAAGAAGGGAAAAAATCGAAGAAGTTTGGCATGAATTTGACCAAATTCAAACGGCACTTGAATTGACGGAGAATTTAAACGAAAGCACGGCGTATCGTAAGGAGTTCGAAGATCTATACTTTAAGGCTATAGTAGAAGCAAATAAAATTGTATCACTAGGAATGGTAAAGGAGACTACCTCTGAACGAGGAAGTATGGCGATAGCGAGCGAAAGAAGTACAGGGAGAAACAGTATGGCGCCTCAAGTGAAATTAGCAGCATTAAAAGTACCTGTTTTTAATGGGGATTATTTAGAATGGGCGTCGTTTTATGATACATTTACGGCATTGGTACATACACACCCGGACCTATTGCCCGTATCGAAGTTTTTTCATTTGCGCGAAGCGCTATCAGGAGAGGCGTTGAACTCGATAAGAAGTTTGGAGACCACAGCAAATAATTATGAAAAAGAGTGGAGCATTCTGTGTGCTAGGTATAATAATAAAAAAGTGCGAATTCAAGCTCATGTGCGGGCAATATTTGATTTGGATGCGCTGCAGAGTGACTCGGCAATAAAACTTAGGTATTTTTTCGATGCGTTGTCAGGTCACATGCGAGCTCTAGAGGCGTTAGAGCAAGAACCGGAAAGTTGGGGGCCGTTATTAATGCACTTAATTAGTACCAAATTAGACAAAAAAACGTTACAAGAGTGGGAGGCGGGCAGCCCTAAAGACAGGATTGCTGAAGTTTCAGAGATAATGCAATTTCTGGAAAATCGATTTAAAATATTAGAAGCCATCGAATCAGCGAAAACGTACATAGTAGTACGCGAGGTGCTATTAGTAACGGATCGACAGGGCAAGGCAAATCGAACAAATATAATAATCAATTTTCGTCTTTAATGATAAGTGCGGGTTTAAAGTGTTACGTGTGTCAGTTGCCGCACACTATCTATAAATGTCCAACGTTAATTGCTTTACCGATAAAAGAGAGAATAAATAAAGTAACTGAATTAAAATTATGTAAGATTTGTTTACGTCAGCACGAAAATAAAAAGTGCTTTGCGAAATATTGCTTCAAGTGTTCGAAGCCGCATAATACATTGTTGCATTTAGCACAAATTAAAAATGCAGAACAAGGTAACAAAAATTCAACTGAAAATGCAGAAGAGAGCACGTCGGCGGCATCGTCATCAATAAGTGCGCATACGCTGGTACAAAATGACGAACAGGTATTATTATCAACAGCGGTGGTGCATATACACAATGCTAGCGGTGAAAACGTCGAATGCCGTATATTGTTAGATTCCGGCTCACAGTGTAATTTAATTACCGAAAATATGGTTCAAAATATAAGATTAAAAAGGTATCAAGTGCAGCACACAGTAATGGGTATCGGTGGGATAACACAACCTGTTACGCGGGCTGTAAATGTTTCAATTACATCGCGATATAATAGTTTCAATTTAATATTGACCTGCCTAGTGGTACAAAAGATCACACATTGTATGCCTAATAATGAGGTTGAAAATTGCGTAGCTCCCAATGATATAAATCTCGCGGACCCGTTATTTAGACGTCCGCAAAAAATAGATTTGTTACTAGGGAACAAACATTTCTTCGAAATAATATGTGCCGGCCAAATTAAACAGCACGTGGCCGGACCGATATTTCAGGAAACACGTTTCGGCTGGGTGGTAGCTGGACCGGTCTTAAGAAAGAGCTGTAAGGATACCAAGAACGTAAGTAGCGTAACACACACGACAGCGTGTGTGGAAAATGACGCGCATTTTGAAAATTTGGTATCAAAGTTTTGGCGTATAGAAAAATTGGAGACGGACCCACCTTTAACATTAGAAGAAAAAATGTGTAGGAGTCATTTTGACAAAACAGTCCAACGGGACAAAACCGGACGTTTTATTATCCGTTTGCCGTTTAAAAATACAAATAACGCGTCCGCATTAGGAAAATCGTATCAGATCGCAAGGCGGCGATGGGCGGCGACCGAGAATAGACTCCGAAATAATATACCTCTACGCGAAGCATATACGCAATTTATGCACGAATATGAAGCGTTAGGCCATATGGAACGGGTAATTGAAAAAGAGGACGAGGAAAATAAAAAGAGTTGCTATTTGCCACATCACGCGGTTATAAATGAAAATAGTACGACGACCAAGGTGAGGGTGGTGTTTGACGCGTCCTGTAAGACAGAATCTGGCAACAGCTTGAACGATTTATTATTAAAAGGGCCCGTTTTGCAGGACGAACTAGTATACATACTAGCGCGTTTCCGTACCTATAATTATGTCTTATCAGCTGACATTACAAAAATGTACCGACAAATTAAAGTAGCTAACGAAGATTGTAACTATCAGCGGATATTGTGGCGAGCCGATCCAAAAATGCCAATACAAGTTTATCGTCTTACCACATTAACTTACGGTACAGTACCTGCAGCTTTCATAGCAACAGCTTGTTTAGAAAAATTGGCTGAGACAGGAAACGATTACCTACGTGCACGTGAATCCATAAAAAGGGATTTTTATATGGATGACTATTTGAGTGGCGCGTCAACAAAAGAAGAAGCTATAAGGTTAAAACATGAAGTACTGTCAATATTAGGGCAAGCGGGTTTCGAGCTACGGAAGTGGTCGTCCAATGACCCTAGTATTATAAATAGTAATATGTCGGTCGGTGACAAAGGTGCGGGTAACGACGTGCGTGTTTTCGATTGTGCGATAACAAAAATACTAGGCCTATTCTGGGAACCGAGCGACGACGTATTACGGTATAAAGTAAGCGAATACGTTGAAAATACGGAAATTATTAACAAACGAAAAATACTGTCCGAAATAGCTACAATATTCGACCCCCTCGGTTTAGTAGGTCCAGTGGTAGTAGTAGCTAAATTATTTATGCAAAATTTATGGCAGTTACGTGTAAACTGGGACGAACAATTACCGAAAGACGTATCCGACGAATGGCTACAATACAAAAAATGTTTACCGCGACTAAATAAACTAGTAATTCCGCGTATGATTATTAGTAAACATAAAATCATAAATATCCAAATTCATGGATTTGCTGATGCATCGACAAAAGCTTATGGCGCATGTTTGTATTTACGTAGTACGGACGAAGTAGGTACACATACAGTGAGACTTATATGCGCCAAATCTAAGGTCGCACCGTTAAAAACGATATCATTACCGAGACTAGAACTATGTGCTGCGTTACTATTGGCGCGTATGCAGCATCGTGTAATTCCAAAATTACGACTAGAAATAGAGAGAAAATATTTTTGGTCGGATTCTACTATTACTCTTGCTTGGATCTCGTCACCGTCCACCAGGTGGAAAACATTTGTTGCCCACAGGGTTGGAGAGATTCAGGATTTATCCTGCACTAGTGAGTGGTCCCACGTTAGTACACACGACAATCCAGCTGACTTAATATCGCGCGGGTGTGATGCGTCACAAATTGCGGCTATGGAATTATGGTGGTATGGCCCGAAGTGGTTGTGTTTAAATAAAGAGGATTGGCCGGCAAAAAATGAGGTTTTACACCATCAATTAAATGGTAAAAATATTCCTGAAAAACAAAACGTTATAGAATTTTCCGGTATTACCACGGATACATTTTCTATATTTGACAAGTATTCGTCGTTGAATAAAATAATACGAATTACCGCCTATTGCGTGCGTTTTTATAATAAAATAAAAGAACCAAAAAGAGCAGAGTGCGGAGTTTTAACAACAACTGATTTACATAATGCAAATTTGCGACTTTTAATTAAAGTACAAAAGGACCATTTTGAAAAGGAGTTAAATGAATTAAATTCGGAAAATGGTCAGGTATCGTCGAAAAGCAAGTTATTCAGATTGAGACCGTTTCTCGACGAAGAGGGATTAATCCGTGTGGGCGGGCGGCTAAAAAATGCGTTATCATTAGGCATTTTTCAAAAGCACCCCATATTATTACCAAAAGAGTCCGCGTATACAAATTTGTTGTTTCAACGGGAGCATGAACAGTTATTACACGGGGGTCCACAAGCAATGTTAGCGTCGATCCGGCTGAAATATTGGCCACTTAATGCCCGGAATATAGCTCGAAAGACCGTGTACCGTTGTGTGAAATGTTTTCGAATGAAGCCTACCGTGGTACAACCAATCATGGGTAATTTACCTAGAGAGCGTGTAGAAATCCAATCTCGTGCATTTCAAATCTGCGGTGTCGATTTCGCGGGGCCTATAATGGTAAAACAGAGTTTAAGGCGAAATGCACCCGCGACAAAAGGGTATGTTTGTATATTTGTATGTTTTGCTACTAAGGCGGTGCATATTGAGGTCGTTATAGATTTGAGCACAAAGTCATTTTTAAATGCGTTGAACCGATTTTTTGATCGCAGGGGTAAATGTGCTATGATTTATTCCGACAATGCTACCAACTTCGTAGGAGCAAACAGGCATTTAAAAGAAGTATATCAACTTTTCCGAGATCAAAAGCATCAAGAGATCGTTCAATCTGGTCTGGCTACAATAGGAGTACAATGGAAGTTTATTCCCCCCAGGTCGCCTCATTTTGGGGGATTATGGGAGGCAGCGGTTAAGTCGATGAAATCATTATTACGAAGTGTACTATGCGAATCATATTTAACGTACGAAGAGTTATGTACTATACTCACTAGGGTAGAAGCGTGTTTAAATTCTCGGCCTTTAACGGCTTTGTCCTCGGATCCTTCCGATTTATTATACATCACTCCAGCTCATTTCCTAATCGGAGACTCCCTAATGTCTATACCGGAGCGGGATGAAACAAATACTCAGGTAAACCGGTTAGACCGTTGGCGTCGCGTTCAACAATTCTCACAAATTTTGTGGAAGCGTTGGAGTCGAGAGTATTTGCATCAATTGCAAGAGAGGTCAAGATGGGCTAGTGAAAAGGGACCCAAAGTGGATATCGGCAGTGTAGTTTTAATTAGTGAAGATAATCTGCCACCCTTACGGTGGAAAATCGGACGAGTGAGAGAGGTGACACGGGGAAGTGACAACATCATTCGTACCGCGGTAGTAAAAACGGTTGATGGCGAGTTAACCCGGGCAGTGCGTAAGCTGTGTCCACTACCATTCGAAGGCAATGATGGTTAAATCAAAGGCCAAAATAAATTAATTCTTGTAATAAATTTTTTTTTTTTGATATGAATTATTTGTATGATTTTTATTCGTATTATTATTAATATGTAACAACAATAGAATTTTTTTTTGATACCTATTATTATTCATTATGTTACATTATTATGTTATGATATTAGTCCTGTACTCATGTATTATAATTATTGTTGTTTGAAAAATATTTCAAGGCGGGCGGCATGTCACGTATCGGTTGAAATGTTATCGACTATCGAATATCTATAATAATCGGAATGATAATATTGTTATCGGCTAGTGAGGCCGACGGGTTTGCCCTCGATCAATTTTGTATGGTATTAATTTAGCAGTCGTCGAAAAAGAGCGAACGGGACATGTCGGCTCCGTATTATAGTGAAAATAAAATAATTTAATATTCTATTTGCTCAATTGCGTATAAGTTATTAATTTAAAATAATAGCCTAATCAACCAGCTGAGTATCCGAAGTAACCAGTATCGGAAAGTTACAGTCCACTCCGCAACATATTATATATATTTTATATTTTTTCAGTATTTAAAAAAAAATAATAAATATTATAGGTACTAATGGGTTTTATTTCCAAAAATGATCGATGTGGTTGTGTGGTTATATCATTGACATAATATAAAATAATAATAATATAATTATGTCTATGGGTTATATATATTTTTTCATTCTCTACCATGATATTATTACCATCGAATATATAATAAATCTGTGGGTATAATATTATGCTGGTATAGATTTCTTATCACGCTTTGGTATCTCCCTACTATCGTTATAATAAGAAAACAACATGATATATAATTCCCATATTAATAGGGAAAAAATTGTCTAAAAATAGCAACCACAGAATATTATTTGTTTACATTTTTAACCTTGTCACTTACTTTCTATGGTAGAAATGATATTCTATGGTAGAAATTCTACCACCAATTTTAGTTAGTACGTCGAGAGTACGATTGTTCTAGTCGTGATCGAGAAAGAAGTGAAATACTTAATAATATATATTATATAATACTAATAAATTAAATTAAAATTTAGTTAATTTATTAATTTAAAGTTAAATTAAAATTGATGTGGAAAAATTTAGAAATATGAATTAAGTATATTGTGCCATTTTGAACAAGGTAACCCATAATACAAATTTCAGGTTTAGGCGTTTAGCTATATTATTTATTTTGAGTGTGCAGGGAGAAAAAATGTATAGGTTAGGTTCGATTAAGTACTATTAAGGTGCTTTATATCCATAAATTTGCTTACCAAATACAACTGACATCCATAATATAATATAAACTTATTAAAAGTACCTACACATAGTTCTTCAAAAATAGTCATAATATTGTGAAGTTTTCATACTAATATAAGTGACGTATTAAATACATTTTACAAATATTCTACAGTTTTTGTCCCCACTAGACCCCCCCACTAAAGAAAAAAAAGTTTTCTATGTGGCCTGGTAACAATTTGAATGGCCTGCTAACATTTTCGCACCAACAAAAAAAAAGTTGAAATGATGCCCCTGCCCCAGGTTGGACATTTTATTTACCTTTTTTTAAGATATAAAGCAGCATATTATCTTCTTTCCTAAGGTCCTATCTCTGTAAAAAATTTTCGGATGAATAGGTCTATAGATTATAGGAATGCATAAAGGACATAGTCAAGCTCAAATATTTTTTGTCTTTTATCTATAGGTACATATAAAATCCAAATACCACTTAGTCACTGATCGCTGTAACTCAAAAACTACCCAACGTACGAACTTGAAATTTGGAATAGAGGTTCTTCTCATATTTTCATGGTGCAATAGAAAGGATTTGCCGAAATTCGCATTTTAAATAGGTGCTTAAACAGTTACATAGAGGTTCACAATGGAAATTGGAAATTTTATTTTTATTTATTAATAGTTGCCATACGTTACAGTCTTCAGTAGAAATTAGTATTTATTTATTATTGGTTGCCATTGGTTATTCGGACCGATCAGGTACAAGCTTGTATCAAATCAAATTATTGAACATTGCCTACCAGGGTGGCTGAGTTTCACTTACTGCAGCTTAGTTACACCCAAAAGAAATTGAACAATCATAATTTTTTTTAGAGTTGCGATTTTCTACGGGCAAGAAAGTGCACAGGATCAGCTAGTATAATATATAAATTAAATATGTTCGAGTCCTAAAGGAAGATTGCTAACACTGTTGTGTATTCTTTGGTCTCAGGTAGAAAGGGCTTATGTCAATTTAATCAACTTTATAACTAATTATAAGACAGCCGTTTGAAAGTTTGGAAATTCCTACACGTTTTAGTGTTACAACCACGAATATTATAGAAACCATTTATGTATATTAAATATTAATCATATTCTAATTACATTTATGACTTAAAAATCTTGAATTTATCATTATGTACAGATTTAACTGTAGTTATGCCATTTGGATTTCACATTTTCTGATTTATGCCCTTTTGATTTCACTTGTTCTGACTTAAACTCTTTATTTGTCCACGAACTATGTATTTTTGATTTCAATTATTTTGACATGTCTTTTGTCCAAGCATAAGTCATCATACGCCTTTTCTACCAAACGTAGAAACTGTTATGTTTAGATATGCTCTATTTATTTCTTCAATTATATGATTAATATTCGTCACTGACTTATGCCAAATGTACCAAAAAAATCAGCAAAAATTAAGCTTTACGTCTGCGGAAAATCATTTTTTTGTGAAAAATTGACTTATCCTTTTCTACCCGGGAACAAAGTATTGTCAAATTATTAAACTTAATAGGTATAATGAGATGATTGATCAATGAAATTTATTTAGGGGTTTTTTTCTGTCAAAAATGGTTTTTAATTAAAAATTTTAACAGAATTATTATTATTACAAAGACTATTATCGATAATTTGTATGAAATAATAAATTAATATCCACTCATATCTGATTAGGTACTATTGCTAAAAACTATAGAATTTATGAGATATAAGAAAACTTATTTTGGTTCGACACTGGCATGCAGCATGAAGAGTGAAGCGAGACGAGCGCCTAACACTTATTTCTTATATAGTATAACTGCAGTATCCTGTCCGTATATATATTCATTATAGGTACCTATTTTTAACGATCACGAATATCTCTTTCCAGGTGGAACGGACTTTAACGATTAAAGTAATTTTATATAATATAGTTTACGCATATGTTAGAAAATGCTGTAGTGTAGGTATACTCCATGCAATGGGTAGCTGATAGGTACTAAAGTTATTACTATACATATTATTATATTAATTATTTTTGTATGCTCGTGGTGTATAAGTTTTTCATATTATTTTAACCATGCCGCTTATTCAAATTCAAATTTTGCATAATTTTAATAATAGATAATAGTGGATATAATTCAATGAAAAGTTACTTAAAAAAATTAAGTTATGCATGGAAGTAAAACTTCCATAAATGGGTCACTCACCTGTCGATATGGCTGCAGCAGACCAAACGATGTACAAGGACTATTCCGCACTGCAGCATGCAATATAATGGGTACTATTATAATAGTAGTGTACTAGAATGGATTCAACGTTTGGCAGTTATATCGTAATGTGCAGCATATGAAGAATAAATATTTTTGCATTATTTCTTTTTGAAATAATCAATATCTCCCTTGAATAATATTCAATTTAGTGATCGGAACAACCAAAAACAAAACTATATATGAAATGTACATACATTATAAGAGACTGTTAATAGAAACTATAACCGGGGGTTTTCCTGAGGACTTTTGACTTATGAATAGTTTTGAAAAATGATCGCAGTATTAAGTCGATCGGTAGCCGGTAGGATGGAACAAAATATGAGCATAAATTCAAGCAGCCTGCTCGTGTGTCTTTAGTAAGTGGCAATATGCAATTTAGTTGCTGCTGCCCATATCATTGAATTAGTCGTCAATGATGATTAGTGTGAGTTTGATTGTAGGTACATGGGTAGTAGTGGGCAGTGGTCACTAGAAATAGCCATATATAATATATATAATAGAGTACTATTCCTTCGCGCATCCAAATGATTGAGCTCCGTGGTTTCGTACCCAAATTGTTCCAATTCTACCAACTAGTCGCCCCCTAAATTCCCCCACTCACGACGCCGGTGATGTTAGCGTCAACGGTGTCGGTGGCCAGCAGTTTGAGAAGTTTAGTGGTGGGAATTCGCGAGAACGGACGAGTTTTGGACGCCGCCCAAAAGTACTCTCTCGATGGCTGGATAGTGGCCTGCAGTGGGTACCGGGCTATCTACGCACGCACTGCTTGTGCGCACATGTCAACAGCATTGGCGACCAAAAATAAAATTGCATGATTTTTTGCTCAAAACACGCTTTACAGGAAAAACTCTCACGCATCGTAGATTGGTCTGATTTTAATAATTTTTTTTCGTTAGAAAAGGGGAGAATTTTCTACAGGGCGCATTGGACTTCGATTTTTAATTTCGTTGTTTAAAACAAAAGTACAGTAGAACTTCGATTAACCGTCACTGTCGGGACCGGGGCTATGACGGTTAATCGAATAGACGGTTAACGGAAATTTTGAAAAAAAAACGTGTAAATACATATACATACACACATTTATTATATTTTATATTTATATTATATATTTATCATATTTTACGTGTGTACTTTAAAAAAAAAAAAAATACTTACATTGTGACAAATTATAAACATACATACCACACACATTATAATAAAAAATCTGTCATTTTAGTTTGTTTTTTTGATTCTCTAGCTTTTTTAGCAGCAATATTACGTATTTGACGTAGAAGTAAGACTTGCGTAGCATTTTGTAGCACTTGATAGTTACTGTGTTGGGCACGAGTTTATCTCGATCGTCTAATTATTTTTTTTTTCGGCGGTAACCGATGACGGATAACAGAGAGTGACGGTTAATCGAGTGACGGTTAATCGAAGTTCTACTGTAATGAAAATAACAAATTCTTGTGAAAATTGGTCAT